GGCACATCATATGATATGACTAATCTTTATTATCTGCAACTGTCTCATTAGAATTTACTTTTAGTCAGACTCAATCAGTGCTACCGCTGCCAGAACTGCTGTGCAAGCACTTTGTCTCTGTAATTAGAAACGTAATTTTTTTCCCTCCCACATTAGCAAAAACGCGCTGTAAAGGAAAATTAAAGATAACACAGAATGCTGCATGAATTTTAAACTCCAAATTGAATAAGTAAATATAGCCCCATTGATTGTGTTTAGCATAATCAGCTCTTTTTATACACTTATGAACTCAAACAGCAAAAATTGCAGATGACAGAAATTGCATTTCATAATGTATAACTCACAGATAAACAAGCTGCAGAAGTTTTAAATGTAGTTCAACTCACTTTGAAATTGAGCTGCATCATAGGAAGTACATGCACCTGGGCCGCCTGCCAGTCTGTAGTGATGCGCCGGCCAATCTCCTCTGACTCCAGGCAGCACATGGGGTTATACTTATCCTTGGATAAACACACTTTAGAGCCCAACACTTCCGATACAGCTAAAGGGAACAGGTGGGACAGGTAAAAAAAAATAAAAAGTTATATATCTCTATATACACAAGAAGGGACGAATGAAAAGTAGTCTATTGAGATTTGGAAAGAAGTTGCAATCAATTGAGACAGTCAAGAGAGACCTTATTTTAACAGTCCACAGTGGGACACTATGTAATCAGAGCTTTAAAATTAATCATGGATGCATTCTTTTAACACAAACAGGAAGCCAGTCAGACAAACTGTGAAACAGGAACAATTTCAAAGTCAAGTCAAGTCTTTTTTAAACTCTTTTATTTTATACGAGCTTCATTCATGAGTGAGTATGACGGTCACAGATAATAGAATAGCGAACAATCCTACAAAAGGTCTGGACAAGGCAGGACAACTTTGCTCACTGACCTAGAAAGACCTTCTCTTTCCCAACTGCATAGGTGCCACAAACCACAAGTGTACGAGGGTTCAGTGTGACCTGTTCAAAAGCTGTGTTTACAGCAAAGGTGATGACTTCCTGTTGAGCAGGAAAGGTATAGTCAGGACTGCAATACCTATAGAGGAGAAAAAGTTTTTTTTGTTTTTAATCTCAACTAGGGCTGCACGATAAATCGCATGCGATATTTAACGCGCATCTTGTCAGAAAGCCAGTTATCGTGCAGCCCTAATCTCAACCCTATCTCAGTTAATGTGATCAAAATGATCAGCAGAGAAATAAGAGACACAACGAAGCACCAAAAAGTAGTTTTGTTAGTAGGGAACTCACGTTGTGTCCAGATAAAGGGTCTGTATCCTGAGACCCTGCAGCTCTGGGTAGCGCTCCATGGACAGATCAGCCCGGAAGTCATCTGTGTGGAGCACCGTCTGGCCATCTGGCAGAACAAATAGCAACATGGCTGCCCCAGGACAGCTGGGGGGGAAACAGTCATTGTTATTAAGGTCTTGTCATTCTGTATAAACACAGGGACCTGTAATAAATAAATAAATTGGGCTTCAAAACTTCATTAGTTACTTAGAGGATACACTTACTGATTAGCATCCAGGAGAATGACCTTCACTCCTTGCACCATACACTCTGTGTTCATTGGGAGAACATGAACATACTGCTCATCCACCTTCAGCTTGCTCTTCACCAGGTTACTAGTTATCTACAATGATTAACACCAGTTAGTAATGAAAACCAAGATTCAGTCAAGAACAAATCCTCCCTGACACCATCGTTGAAAAAAAAGAAAACATTTTCTTTTCTTCACTGGCATTTTGCTTTCCCCATTTGTTTTTACATTTTCCACCTTCGTCCTGATCCTTAGATTTAACTGACGTAAATTTGTGATATTTTGTCAATGTGCTGATAATTCTGATTTCATAACCATGACACATTTCTGAAGTTGAAAGGGATAGTTGAACCAAAAATGAATTCTTTCATGATTTACTCACTCTTATGTTGTTGCAAAACGGTATTACTTTCTATCTTGCGTGGAACATAAAAGAAGATACTTTGAGAAATGTGTGTGTTTGTGTGTGTGTATATATATATATATATATATATATACTGTATATACACAATAGAAGTCAATGGTCTGTGTTGTTCCTGTGCTGTTGCCAATGCTCTTTTGTGTTTCAAAGAAGAAAGAAATTAATAAAGGTTTGGAAGAACATGAGGGTGAGTAAATAAATGACCATTTTTATTTTGGGGTGAACTATCCCATTAGTTTCTTGGGAGGGAACTTTTCGTTGTGAATGTTGGAGGATTTCTACATAGTAAATTGAACTCTTCAGTTTCCTGAAGAGCAAGAAAAATCCTGCTTTCATTATTTTTAAAGTGCAATGAGGTTGGGATACGTACTTTGTTACAGTAGATGGGTAAAACAGAGTCTTTTCTCAAGCCACCATAGTGGTCCGAGTGGAAGTGAGTGAGAAAGTAGGCTGTGACACCTTCAACAACCCCATACTGAAAAGCATCCACAGCAAAACCAGTTCCTGAATAGAGAAAAAGCATATTATATTCTCCAAAGTACATTAGACCAAAACACTATCCCTCAAGCTAAAAAATAATAGAGTTATTATGAGAGTAAAAGAATAAATGCACACAATCTAGTACATAAAAAGTTCTGGCACAGCTATTAAGATCTGAAGTATTAAAGTGCTAATGCAATCTTAACAATTGGTATTAAGTAGGTCAAAACAAAAGCATTAAAGTGGTTCACAAACCAGGAATTTTCTTGTAGAATGGACAGCGCTTGGGCTCCTTGGGATCTCCATCTGTCGCTCTTCCTCTGTTCCATCTTTTCTGCCTCTCTGCCCTCCCTCCTGGCTTTCCTTCTGTTTGCGTGGGCCGAGTCGTACCATCTTCTGCAGCAGGCGAGACACTGGACACTTCAGATGGTGCTTTGCTCTTCCTACGCCGTCTACCCTGGAGCTTAGCGTCTTCCCCCTGAGTTTCTGAAATCCTCGCTCTCCTAGACCCTTGCTGATCGGCCTCTCTGACCGTTGCCTTCACTTCCTCCTCAGCCTTTTTTTCATTCAATGACTTCAAGCCAAAAAACACCCCAATGTCTGTTTGCTTTAATCCAGAGGGACCTGCCTTAGTCTGAGTTCTCCTAGGAGCCATAGACAGCGTTTTCTGAGTTATAGATAGGGCTGTTTGGGTGGAAGTCAACTCTTGGCTTATGTAACTGTCGACACATACAGGATTAGATATGCGGTCCTGAAGACACTCTAATACCAAACTTTGAGGTGATTGTAGCTGGGAGTTTGGATCGTCAGGATTTGTTGTGGAGTGTTTTCCCATTGATTGAGGTCCAAGCTGAAATGTTCAGAAACACCTGTAGAAGAAGTAGTCAGGTGATCATTGGGTGCTAATGATGTCTGCAGTTTCTCACAGGTGTCTAATGAGTGTTCCATGTTCCCTGTCTCATATTGGTCCAGCAAATCATAGAACAGATCATCATCTTCATCACTGAACAGTTTAAGAGAATCATCATCAACCTCATTTTCACCTTCCTGCAAAGCAGTACTATGAAAATCTATATTAGGTTTTTGAGTTCTGTGCTCCCTATCCAAGTCTGGAAGTTCAGAGAGTGGGGAGTAGGAGATGTAATCATCATCATTACATTCAAAGAGCTCGGCTTTAACTTCATTAATCTGTGTCTAAACAGCATTGTCAACACAATTTGCTTTAACCGGAGTTGAAATCTTCATTCTCGCCTCCTGAGAAAAATTCTGGGATTGAGATCTTTTGATGGAAGGAGACCAACCTTTCTTTTTCTTGATATCCTCAGTATTAGGAGAGCGCAAAAGCAGCAGAGCGTTACTCTGGGTGGGAGTTCCCTTTGGTCCATCTCAAGGAGATGAACTTTGGCTGGATGAAGCAGATACATTCACAGCGCTGTCCACGTAGCTCTCTGTACCAGATGAAGGTGCAACATTATTAACTGACTTCAAGTTGAAGTCTGAGATGGCTTGGGTCGTGCAGTCGTTCAGCGCGCGACTATGAGCAAGCAGAGAGTGGCTATACCTCTTGTAGTGATTGGGAATGGAGGACGTACAATGAAGACCATCTGGACATTCTGTAACATTAGAGGGAGAGAAGGTTCTTAAATATTAAACAATAATATTCTTGGAAATATTCCACATTAAAGTGTCAAGAGCATGTTACTAATGATGGGTTCCTCAAACCTTATAATGAATGAATTGTCATGACTTTTCTAGTTGTTCATATAGTACGTATATTAAGTATTTTTAAGTAAAAAGACATCAGTCATAAAAAAAAAATCAGTTAACCACTATTAATGATTTTTTTTTCAATGTATTTATTTATTTATTTTAATCCTTTCATAACAGATTGTGTTAAAGAAAAGCATTCTCTAGCTGACTATAGAATGGAGTATAACTTTAAAAAATGCAGATGTAAATTAAATCTAGTTAATGTACATGATTTTCCAGCCATGAAAATAACAATTAAAAAATCCCAGATATTTCCATGTGGAACCCTGTAATAAGCTGATGAGTAGGACAATAGAATAATAACTGTTGATTTTACATATGCATTTATGAAAAACATTACCTTTACAGTTGTCACCAGGGTTATCTAAGCATTCTGCAACATGCCATTGTTGAGACTGAACCACCAAGAGGGAAAATGGCATTTGACATATTACGGTACATAAATCCGACGACTATCTTTCGTCATTACACTCATAGACATATTTATATGTCTATGATTACACTTACCGCCGATGTTTAAAGCACATTTATTTTCACATTGATGTGCGCATTTTCCATAATGCAAATAGTATCGAGTAATTTCATATTAGACATAGGACGTTTATTTATAGATTTAATACAAATAACATTTTTTAATAATATGACAAATATGTTAACTACTCGCAAAACGAGTTTATTTTGTCTTGGATGCGGTTGCAATTTGTCTGTCGAAAGTGCCGAGCGTAAATGTTAACCTCTTATTCTGTTGTTGTGGGAGTCATGGCGTCTTACTGTAAGCTGTCAGATCTTTTCCCCATTCAGAGCCAGTTAGACCATGCTTTAGAGGACGCGACGACTCAAGAAGAGAAAGAAAATCTTGTACATCAGTATTTGCACAAAATAGACGAAAATTATTTAATTATACCGGATTTTGAAGAAGGTAAGAGTGTAAATGAACTCAGTGGGTGTGATAATGTATACAGTATTTGGATCTCATGGGAGTGGCTTTGAAACTTAAGATCAATCATAGATTGATTCGTGGTTTTAGATAAACGAATAACATTATGGAACATGACAAGCCAATTACAAATCGCTTCTGTGATTTTTACTGCTCTATAAATGTATTGAATTAACAGTGAGTGTTTCACACTGTAGTGTTGGTTCTGGGAGGCTATCATGGGGGGGCATTCTGTTCAGATTTGTATCTGCCTTGCCAATTTTTTAAAGGCACCACCACAAAAAATGCTGAATAATTTATAGCAACACATTTTTATATGCCTCAAGAGAATATATTTTTCATTTAATGTAAATTTTCATAATATATGTCATAGTTAAACTCTAACTCCATTGTTGTTTTGTAGGACTGGAATGGTTGAACACAGACGGCCCATTGTCACTCAGGAAGGAACTGTCAGGCAAAGTGGTGGTGCTTGACTTCTTCACCTACTGCTGCATAAACTGCATGCACCTACTTCCTGATCTACACCAGTTGGAGCAAAGTTACACTATAGAAGGTATGACTGATACATGTTTCGTTAGAGACTGTTTGTGGACCAGTGAAAGACAAGGAGAGTGTAAAATTATACCATATGATAAACATGGCATCTACCCTGATTTAGAGTATGTTTGTAGTGATTACATTAGATATTTACATCATTAGGTAAACAAAAAGCATCTTACAATATTTAGCTGTACTCAGTAGGCAATCCAGATAAATGTTTTGATGATAACTTTACAAATATCCCATAGTAAATCATTCCCAGGGTTCACTGGGGCAGAAGAGAGAGCCTTTTGAGCTTGATAACTTCTAATGGTCCAGCAACACATTCCCATTATCTCTCAACTGTATCGGATAGGAGACTTTAAATATCCACAGAGACCAGGTCGAGGGCAGAGAGTTAAACATAGATACACTATTATAAGGGTCTGTGGCTTATTATAGCAGCTCTGCATTCAGTGCTATCAGCTCCAGCTGTCAGTAGCCTATCGGTGGCCACTTCTGTGGGATCATCCGGGGCAACCCAAGTAGATATAACTGCAGACCTGAGATCTCCAAAATGGGGCGTGAACTCCAAAAGTGGGCAGAACCTCCAAAATGGGGCGGGGTCTCCTCCCGCAAAGACTTTCACCATTGGCTCTGGCTTCAGCCAATTGTTATTGACTTACATTTCAAAATACAACTTTATAAATTTAACATTGTTTCATGTTGATCTAAAATAAAATATGCTATATAAGTAAATATTCTCCATGAGAGCAGAGCCCAAAGCTTGTGGCCAGTGGTGTTCAGACTGGAGTTTGAACATCTGCTTCATGATGTAAACGGGAATCACCCACGAGCTCTCCCGCGAGCCGTCCCAGCACAGGGGAAAGACTTTAATCTCTATCGCTTTGTTCTAAGCAGCACCCCGTTTTGGAGTTCCCGCCCCCATTTGGAGATCTCCGGGCTGCAGTTATACCCTTCTCGGGCAACTGGCCAGGCAGCCGTCAGCCCACTCTCTAGCATACCTCACACATAACTCATCTCTGGCACTTCTTTTGGTACATTCTATTACCGCTGTTCAGAACATGCCTCCCCAGTCCCCACCACTCTTCCAAACGTCTCATTAATTATTAGGGTTTATTGTTGATTATATTGCAGAACAGTGGCCTTTTATTATTAAACAGAGATGTTTTTACTCGCATCCTCTAATGTTGGCTGGCTCTGGGTTGGTTCTTTCCCATTTCTATTAAAGGGGTCATATGATGCGATTTCAAGTTTTCCTTTCTCTTTGGAGTGTTACAAGCTGATTGTGCATAGAT